TGCCCCCGGCCACGTTTAAAGGGGTAGTTACCTGTCCAGTTCCTGGAAAACGGGCTAGTGAGATTTGGGCCCAGGAAAAAAAAAGGTTGTTTAACCCAACACCCATGTCGAACACATTAACCAAAGCAACCAAACCTGAGGAAACTGCATCACACCAACCCCATTTGGAAAATTGACATTTAATAATTAATTTAATATTTGTATAAACTGGAAATAAGATTTTGATTGTAATTTATGTGATGTGTTAAGTGTCAATTGGTAACTGAAAAATAATTTTCACAATCTTATTTTAAAATTTATTTTAGAATCCCATATGATAGGAATTCTGGGTAGGATTAAATGTAAATAAATTTTGCACCTAAAAGGTGAGGGTGTGTTTTAGCTTATAATTTTTTTTTCTTTAGATAATTTTTTATGATATTTAAAATATTAATATATAGGTTGCTTTTAAATATTAATTTAAACTAATATTAATTTTTTTATTAATTATTAATTAACAATTAAAATTATCCATTATTAAAAACAGTTCAGTTAGAAATCACCTGAATAAATTTTTAATATTACATGCAATGAAAAAGGTAGTTACATATAAAATTGTATAGCATTTATTCCATAATTTGACTGTAAAAGTCATGAATCATGATATTTCTCTTTTTTAATGACTTATTCCTTTGTTAGCCTAACCATTGATGATGCTTTGTTTCCTTAAAGAATATAGGTTAAATCTTTAATTTGGTTCTTCAACTATTGTACGGATTTTAATTTGATCCCTACACTAAAAAAGTCTTTGATTTGGTTCTTATTGTTTATCAATGTAGTCCCAAGTTGATATTTTCGTACAAAAATAGATGTCATATCTCGTTGTTAACATGACACATAATAGTTAGGTTATGATTTTTTACTATTAAATAATAAATACGTCAGTTATTTTTTTAATAAAAGAACTAACCTGAGGTCAAATTGATAAATAATAAAATTAAATTAGAGATTTTTTAAGTTTATGAATCAAATTGAAGATCCATATAATAATTAAGAAATTAAATTAAAAGTTTGACCAAGAATATATTGTGATGATTATTTTATAGACAACAGTACTTTTAGAAATCATTTAAAAGAAAGACTTACCCGTTTGAATAAACTTTGAAATTAATGATAAAAGATGAGCAGTCAATTTTGAATTGTAGATACATATAAAGAAATTTCCCAAGGATTATTCAAAGCTTTGATTAAAAACCATATAAAAAAACTCCAATTTTCCAATTTAGTTGCACCTAATTAATCTCCATCACCATATCGATTGTCACACTGTGTCCTTTATCTTGTCAATATTCAAAGCAACCTGCCAACGGAACCCCGGCTACGTGGATCAACCCTCTTGTATTTCTATTCCCCTTTCTTCTCCAATTGCTCCAATTTTCCTCAGTTCAAGGAAAAAAAAAAAATTGCAACCGGTCAATGACAAGAAGCGTGTACTTTACTAACAATTTATTAGTTTGAATGAAAAAAACTTGATTTTTATTAAATAAAATTTTGAATTCGAGTATTATAAATAAAAAAATAAATATTAAAAAAATTTCTCTTTTAATAAAATTTAATATGATTTGATTCTGAATTAATCAGATTAAATATAATTATTAAATTTTAAAAGGTTAATATATATAAAAAAAGAAAAAGAAGCATGTACCTTGCTTACACCAACTGAACCAGAACCACATGATTAAGGCAGCGTTTTCGACATAACAGTTACACCAATAGATGACGACATAACAATATAAATTATTGGGAGTAACATTAAAAATATATATTAAGAGTAAATATTATTTAAACAAAGGTAATAAAGTATCAGATTGTCTTTTTAAATTTTAAGTTTTTTTAAGTTGTATTTTTATGGTGTAGATTAAATTTGAATTAATTATATTTTTTATA